GGTAATATCTTATTCTTTCCAATCGAGAATAAATGACCTCTCATGCCTTAAAGTAGTCATTTATTACTCCAACCGAAATAATGAGATATTACTATTTTCAATATCGATTTGAGTGTTACTATTTTGAAATCCTATTGAAAAACACATGCAAAAATAAAACGAATTAAAAGCATACCCGAGGCAAATATAATTAATTATTTGTTTTACCAATATTTAATAAGAATAAGAATGTTCAATTATTTAAATACCTCGAGATGAGACCTTAGATTCGATATAACAGTTTTCTCAGTGAATTTAATTAAAAGAACATGATGTTTTTCCTAATCCCCTAATTTTAAAATGGATTCGATTTAGTTCGTGTCACTAAATAGGATAAACATTTTTTTAAATTATCGAAAGTAATTTTCTTACACGTTAAGACAATCATTTTACCATCAATATTAAAATTAACTAATATTACCCTTAGTCAATTTATTTCTATTCGAGTCAAGAGATGCTTATGAGGGTATCATGCAAAATTAATTAATGACTAAAATGAAATAACATGCAAGCAACATGCAAAAATTAAAATAAAATAAAATGAAAATAGGGCTAAAATACAAACAATCAAACCATCATGTCAAAATTAAAACAAAATAAAGTACAAAAGTGACTAAAATGAGCATTTTTAATATTGAGTGCTAAAATTACAAAGGATAAAAATAAATAAAACATGTGGACCAAATTGAAATAAAATAAAATTGCATGGCTAAATTAAATTAAATAAAAAATAGATTATAGTTTAAAATATAAACATGCAGAAACTACAAAGACTATATCCTAATGATTCCTTTTTTCTAACCTAAAACATGCATTCGAATAAAAAAGGGTCAATTACTAAATCATTCCAAAAGTATTTAAAAAAATAAATCAGTTACTACATATGACCAAAATGTAAAAACGTGCTAAACATAGGGGGATTAAGAAGCAAATAACCCTAATATATATATATATATATATATAACGGGCATAAAAGTGGATAAATTACATAATCGGTCCCTACAGGTGACTAATATGTAAAAACATGCTAAAGTTAGGGGACTAAACATCAATTATCCAAAAAATATATAACATGCATAAGAACCGGGTAAATTATAAAATTGGTCTCTACATATGATCATTTTGTAAAAACAAGCGCAAATTAGGGAAACCTGAGTGCAATTTCCCCCTAAAGTTTTCTTAAAATACAATATTTTCCCTTTTATTTTTATTTTTAATTTCTAAAGAGAGAAACTCCTAAAATTCGGCCCATCTCCGGCTATTTGGCCCACGACTGCCGCCGCCGCCGCAGTGGCTGTTGGCCACCAACTTTACCCAAAGATTTGGCTAGACCCCTCGTCTCAATATATGGTTTGTTTTTCGTGAAAGGCTCTAGCGTCGTGAAAATGGTGAGACCTTCGACTTTCCGAGCTTTGATCCGCTGTCCGCCGTTGAATTGGGGTGATCTCAAGGTATGTTGGTATCCTCGCCCGTGTGCTCCTCCTCACTGTTCAGATATGGCAATGGAGGCTCCGAACGCTGGCGAAGCCTCTGGCTGAAAGTAACTCTTCTCCCTTCTTCCTTTGTTTACTATATTATTGCTAAAAAAAGTTGTGCTTCAAATGAAAAGAAAAGGACCAAAAGATTTGCTCTGAAATGTTCTTTTTTTGTATTATTTTTCGAAAAGGGATAGATCCCTGGTACATTGTTCTTCTTGGGTTTTTATATTACCCTTTACATTTCTGAAATAAAGGAAAATAATCATGCTTGCTTGTTGTTATAGCTCTACTGGTTGAGATGGGTTGTTGGGCTTCGGGTTGCTTGATTTGGTACAGTTTGGCTCTTTGTAATTTGGGGCTCGATTTTTTGTTTTGTTGTATCCAGGCTTGATTCGTTGTTAGGCTTTGATCTGAAAAATAAAATAATAATAATAACAACGGGACGAAAATGGATGTCGACAATATGTTTAATCTTCAAAAATTATTTTAAAATTATATAAGTAAAATAATTTTATATGATAATATTGCAATGCGACACATAACGTCAACTGATTTTAGAAAATTGATAGATTTAACGATCAATATTAATAGAATAAACAAATTGATAAAATTTTAAAATAAAATAAACTTAGTTGACTGTAAAAATAAAATCAAGAAAATATTTTCCTTAAATTCGTGAATTTCTAACATCCTTTAACCAAAATTATAATGCATCAATCAACTTTTCATCCTACTTTTGATTTAATCTTTAAGAACTCAAGATTCTTAAAATCCCATAAATGTGTAGCTATCAATTTCCTGTCAATTGCATGCAAATGGAAAATATCCAATTCTTTTACTATATAATTTCTTGATTTAAAAGTGTTGGTAAAAACATTAAGATTTGACACTTCTCATTATATTATAATTATTTATGTTTATTTGTTCACATTTTTCCCTCCCTCGTTCCTTCTAACTATCTATTATTGTGTATTACATGTCGGGACAGACGTAGGATGGCGTATTATATGTCGGACGGACATAAGATTTTATATTAAAAATATATGTCAGAGGGGATAAATTTTAAAAAAAATAAAGGGTAAAAACATATTTTCAACAGAAAATATAAAAAAAATTATCTAAATTATATAAAAAAATTAAAACTTTTATAGGGCCACGGCCCCAACCCATTCCCCTCTAAGCTCTTCACTGATTACAAATATATTATAAAACATATTTTCAGATACAAATATATTAATTATAATTATAATTATAATTTTAAAAATCAGATGAATCAATTGCATTTTTTTTATGATGTTAGAATTTATCTCTTAAATTTCATTTGATGATATTAAAAAATCACAATACAATCTGTTTTACTACTTGTCTTGTAAAAAAAAAATCAAATTAGAATATACTAAGTTAAACGGTATAAAGTAGGGTAAAGTAAAACATCAACTTTTAACTTATCATAGCGAGATAAAAATATTAAGTTTTTTTAATAGTATGAAATGATTGTAATGGTAATGTTTATTCATAAGAGTTTTAGTTTTTTTAAGAACAATAACATTTTTTTTATTATTGAAATTTGAATTTAAAATATTATATTTTTCCAAAAAAAAGTTCTCAGTTTAAATCTTAATATTGTTATCTATAAATATCTTCAGTATTCAATCTAAATTAATCAATTGATCAATCAAATTACGATAATTAAAAAAATCATCACATGAGAAGGGGTATAATATCATATAATAGTCATTAACAATTACCAGATATAATGATAACATACATTATATTTTTAAAGAGAATTTTAATTTCAATCTTAAAAATAATATTACTATAAAGAGAGAGAAATACAAAATTCGAACACAGACAATAAAGGATAAGTGAAAAACATACAATACAATAACCAATCATCACATTCTCTCACAATCGCATGTGCCATGTAACATATTCTGTTTTGGCTCTATCCCCAACTTTTGGACCCTGCACTTGGATTGCCCTGGATATTCACATTCATTTTCCTAACTTTTTTTTTAATTAATCATTGGTATATGATCTATTAACCGACTAATTCAGATCGGGTACTGCAGAGGCGATGGCGACCCTCTCAACCCAGTTTACTCCATTAGCAAACGTCAGGATTCAAACTCATGGCATTACTTAAAAGACTTAGTGTATCATCCCACTAGACTAACGATTGTTGTTCCTAACCCTTTTTCTAACAATCCATAAAAGAATCCAAAAATTTATATGTATATAAAAGGACACACAATAATAATAAATTTAAGTTTCATATAATTTTAAAAATATCACTGTCAATATAACATATATTCATATAGATATATATATTAATCACCAATATTTAAATTTATTAATTAATTAATTTAGATTAGATATTATAGAAACTCATTTATAAGAATGACTCTATTAACTTAATTTGATCATTCATAATTTCAAAATTCAAACTCTGATCTTACTTAAAAAAATATAATACCATATCATACTATACTAACAAATTATTAATTTAAATAATAACATAACATGGCATATACTCTATCCCCATTTTTTCATCCATACCTAACAATTTTAACCCATAAAATTAAAATATATGAATAATCTAACACATGGATTCACCTAACTTGTTCTACCTTGATATTTGTCCTTTAAGTAACATATATGAGAAATAATATAATAATCTCTCACAGCAAGCTAATCTATAGAATATATATAGCTTGATTCTACATCCCACTTCCTTAATATAATTCAAAGCACTAAGAAATGAAAGTGGGTGTCACATGTGTAAAAGAAACTTTCATTACCTAATAGTGTAGAAGGTGGGGAAGGAAAAAGAAATGTTCTTTGGATTTTGTCGTTTTGGAGTTTTCAATGACGTTCTCACAAAACCCAAATAAGTCATGTCAATAAGATTAACATTAAGCATAGAAAAGTGAAAACATCACACCTCGGATATCATCCCAAGATAAATCAAGTATTGGAGTCTAGTAGTTATTCTTACTAGTGGATCAATAGGGTGATATGACGGTCGTATCTTAAAATATATTTATATATTTTTATTGATAACTTTTTTTTTTATAAATTTATCTAAAATTTTATAAGTTAAACTCTTTAACATAAAAACATTTGGCCGTTCCTATCTGTTTTCAGGGGGGGGGGGGAACGCCTTAACCTTCAGCAGGCATGGCATCCAAAGCTCCTTTTGTCACCTACCTAGTTTGGCCCCTTCTTCACCACATTGTCAAAGTCTATGCAATTCCTCAAATTCATGTTTTGTAGGTCGAACAGTAATACTAGAAGAGATTACCCTAAAATGGGACTTAATCAAAACTTCAATATCCGAAAAAATTACCCCAAATAGGTATAATTCAATTCAATTCTGAACTATATCTAGATTATTGTAACTATCTAACATTGAAATTCTAGTACAAAAGTAAAAACTTCGATTTCCTGATTCTGAGCATGAAAATCAAGGAGTAATGATACTCTACAAATCAAGCATTTACAATTTTTCTTATTGGAATATATTTCCAGAGAAATAGTTTTGTACATAATATGGGGAAAAATGCTGGATATCTTTTTATAAGAAAGACATGGGATCAAACGAAGAAGTGATGAAAAGTACTGGAGAAGACATGTATTTAACATGAGAGATTACTTAAGAGAGAAATAGAAAAATAAAAATAGTGAGGATGATTATACTTGGCAATTATGAAACATAAAATATGTCACTGGCTGGTCCGCGACGGTGCTGAGCTGGAGCTGGCGGCTCCGGAGCCAGAGAGCAAGTCAGCGAGAGCACTCATGGCGCGAACCTGCATCTCAAGCGCCGCAATGTAATCCGTTGCCTCTTCAAGAATAACCGGCAACGGTTGCTTTCTGCAACCGGGAACTAATCGGCCAAGAAACTTGACTTTCCTTTGAACAGTCGGTAAACTCTTCGGTCTCAATTTCGAGACGCTAAATCTCGGTTTCCTCGACCGGCTACTCCCGGTGACGGCAGCCACCGTCCCAGCTGCAGATCCTCTGCATCTCTTGCGCTTCCTAAACTTGAGCATAACACGGCTCGTCAAAATGGCTCGGCTCCACCTCGTTCTGCCTTTAGCCGCGACGGCCAAGGCTCTATCGGCAGCTTCACGCACGGCTCGGCCACGGCGTGGAGCGGAAGGAGAAGAGGAGCTGGTGTTGCTGCTGAGACTGACTTGACTCAAAGCTTGAATCAGCTTTGAGGAATAGATTTGTTGCTGGGTCTCTGATTTCCATTTGGCGTGGCTCTGCTGTTGATTCTCCTTTGACATTGCCGCCGATGGTTTCTTCTTCTTTTTCCTTTTGATGCTCCGATCGGAATTCGCATTAGTCACCGGATTCGTTGTCGTGGACGTCATCTCACTGGATCAAATCCTGCTGAAATTCTCCCTCTCTTTTGAACCGTACGATTCGGTGAATTATAGCAGAAAACGAGATGAAAGAAACGAGGAGATTCAAATGAAAATTCTGCAAAAAAAAACGAATTTTATTTCCAATTTGATGAAACTGAGTTGGAATTTGAGAGGAAACATGGAGAGAAAGGAGGAGGTGAGATAGAGGGGAATATGCAAGAAGTTTTATAAAGAAATGGGATGGAAGCATAACTTAATTGGTGTATTTTATTTTCATTATTTATTTATTAGCTTAAGCGTCAAGTCTTTAATTTTTCCTAAATTTAAATTTTTGTATACATAATTAAACCTTTAAAATGATAAATTAAATTAATTAAATTATAATCAATAAATTGAATTATTTATCTATTTTACTTATTAATTTTAAATGTTTTTTGAAATATTATTTTCCTAGGGCATATAATGATTATATCATGTAAAATTTAAATTTTAAGATAAATTTAAAAAATATTTAAAATAATAAATTTTGTATATATCACTTGGTAATATCGTAACGTGGTATATTACAACAATTGATTTTAAAAAATTATAAAAGTAATCAATCAATATTGATAAAAAATGAATTGATAAAATTTTAAAATATAAAACTTTAATTAGATATAAAAAATCAAAAAGCTTAATTAATTTTAAAAATTCAAAAAAAATTGTTAACTTCTTTTGAATAGTATGGAGTTATTATAAGGCAATGATCAGAAGTTTTTTAACCTATTAACAACATAAACACAATCTGCAAACACAATTACTCGAATTTATGTCCTCTATAAAAACATCATTCTCTTTTATCACTAAAATCACTAAACTGGTTCAATTTTTTATATTCCTAAACCTTATTTATTTTTAGTATACATTATGAATATATTATTTATCTATTTAAGTAAAATTAATTATATCAAACTAAACATTATAAAATAATTAATATATTATATTTTTTATAATTTAAATATAAAGTTTTAATTGAATTGAAATAATCAACACTCGTTTATTATTTAGGGTAAACTATTTGTATGATCACTTAATTATTATTTCTTTTCATTTTTATCATCGATTTCGATTTTATCAATCAGATCGTCTAATTATTTAAATGGTTCAATCAAGCAACTAATTGTTAACATTAACGAACAATATGAAGTGGTAGTAAAAAAATTTGGTATAATTATACAATTGGTCCCTATTACAATTGATCCCATGATACAACAACAAACGATCATAGCAGTAAGCACAACCGTAATGATTAGTCGAACACAATCTTGCCTTTCTCTATCACCAGAAAGAACAAATTTAGAAGGAATTTTCTAAGTGTTTTTCCTATTCTATATTCTAAACTTGCGTAGTGTCTAGGATTTGTTCCTTAACTAGCCTATTTATAGAGGAGAAAATGGATTGATGGCTTAAAACCTTTCTGTTAGGATTTGCGGAAACTCGAATGGACAACCGAAAAATGTGCAAAGGGGGTGAATTGATAAAAATTTGTTTTGGAAGTAAGGATAGTAAAAGATAAGACAATGAACACATGGATTTATAGTGGTCCGACTTCTCAATCAAGTCTACCTCCACTACCTTAGCTCCTCACTAAAGATTTTCTAACAAATTCACTAATTTGTTCTTTCTTTTTCAAGGATCAAGAGCAACATTTACAAACTCTCTATCTTTTTACTTGGCTAAGATAGAACCAAAAGCCCCTTTACAAAAGGATAAAAGAAGCAAACAAAGAAACCTCTCTAAGGTAGATGTTTATAAATTTTAGCTCACTAAAACATAAATATTTACAAGAGAATTGGAATAAAGAGTGAAAAGCTCTTCTCTTGTGTTTGATTGCTTGAATAGGTGTTATAACCCTTCTTCAAGTATCCTCAACTTGTATTTATATGTTGAAATGTTGTTGTGGCCGTTTCTAGCCATTGGGAGTGTTTTGGAACCGTTGGGGATCAATTTTCATGCAAAATAAAATTGTTCAGAATAGAGGGTATCGATACTCCTAAAGGGAGTATCGGTAGTACCTTTGTTATTTTTAAATCAACTAGTTGTTACTAGTCTTTGGGGCCTGATGGTATCGATACTACTCTACATAGTAGTATCGATACCCCTTTGGGTATCAGTACCATTTTTGCATTCTGGAATTTCAACAATGCTGGTAGTATCGTACTACCTAGTGAGTATCGATACTTCCCTTATCTTTGGTATCGGTACCATATGAACAGTATCGGTATTGTTCATGAGGTATTGATACTGTAAGAACAGTATCGATATTTCTTGTCCAAAAAATCATTTTGTGCTCAATTCCACTTTTAAATGGACTTTGAATTATTTTTGAAAACTTTGAATAAATTCAATTCAAGTCCAAAAACATTTTACCTTAATTGTTATAATAAAATATAGTTCAACACTTTCGATTAAAGGACTTAGTCTTTCAATTAAAAGACTTATCCTTTTGATGAAATGCCTTAACCTTTTCATGAAATGATTTAATCTTTTCGTGAAATAATTTTTGAATAGGAATGATTGAATAGATTCAACTTTAAACCAAAAATTAAGTTCATTCACCAAGTGATGTGTCTTATTATTAATTAGTTATAAATAACATCAATTTATCCAATTATTTTCCAACAATCTCCCACATGAATGAACTTGAGGGTTCAAACATTGACTCGATATGGTGATAGATTATACGTTCGATATTTGCATAGGATAGGTAAGCATCCCCTTTGAACCTTCCCTGGTGAAAATCAGTTTACCTTACTGGCTATCCAGTAGAGGTGATGTCCTTTAATTGTCATGTTGTTTGTGTAAGCGATGACATACCTCATACAAATATTCCTGACAAGAATTTGGTTCTCATAGTTATGTTCATATAGCCGTAGACATCTTCTGGTTCTGCAAGAGTTTAAAGAACTATGCCCTACTAGTCTCTTTAAAGCGGCTCCACTTCACTCTCACAATAGGTGACTTATGTTGTTCCGCTTAGCGAAACACATAATAGTCATTGAAAATTTATTAAAAGATATTTTTTATTGAAAGATTATATTTGTTCTTCTAAATTTTTACAAGTTTGTATACTTCTAAAAGTTTTATAAATTCGCTCTCCTAACATTAAAAATCATTGTCTAGGGATGAATTCTAATTGAATAAGATTTTGTCAATCTCGATCAGAATATTATATAATTTTTGAAGTAAAAAATCAAATATGATTTATTTGAGATAAATGTATATAACAAATCTCATTTTAAGGTAAAATGAGGAATTGATTAAAAAATATATAGAGAAATATATTATTTTAATTATATCTAAATATATAAGATAATTATTCTATAATATTGGGGTTGAGTAAAAGATTTTTTATCCTAAATTCAAACCCAATTCGACCATAACTTATCCATAATATAATGAAACTTAACTAAACTTGAACCAACATTTAAAAAAAATCATCAATCTTATACGATCGAATCGGGCTAAAATCTATCATATGAGAGTCCTATGTCCATCCCTAGTGTTCCTTTGACACTTTTCTATGTATTTGTTGGGAGATTTAGAATTTTTTTTTCACTCTATTTTATTTTAATTAAATTCAAGTAAATGTTAAATATATTACTTTTTATTTAACTTATAATAAAGTTCTAATCAAGACCAAATCGACTTCTATAGGTGTCTTGTTCTCATACATGAAGCAAAACAAGAGAAGAAACAAAGAGCTTTGATTGACAATCAGTTAAGCTATAGGAAAATCCGTTAAACCGGCCATTTGAACCGGTTAATTACTCTTTTCTATTGGGAGTCTAGAAAATACCGAAGATAATACCAGTTCTGGTCCAACCTGCAAGGATATGGAAAAAGTTTTAGCCCATGAAATCTGATAATACAGCATCATTATGTCAATAAATCAAGTCAGAAATTTGTAAGTAAAAAATTAATTAAAATGAAATCAATATAAAATAAGAAATACATACAAAAAAGAAATTTCAATTGATTGAAATGATCAGTCAAAATTACAGGTAAAAACAAAATGACTCAATTTCAATTCATTAGATGCTGAAAATGCTCTTGCTTGAATACTAATCAAGATTTTAGCGCAGAGACACTAACCGATGGAAAGCAAACATTCAATGATTATGTCACAATCCCTGATTGATAAAATCAAATATTCTTTTCATTATGCTAACGTTGCTTTAAAGTACAATCTTGCTTTCTTTGTCCCTCTATTTAAAAAGGTTTCAACTATTTAACAAGCTTAATCGTTGTAGATTACATCCAAATCTCAAAAGTCTGTGTTCTCATTCATTTTTAAGTGGGTATTAATCATGCTCTTTTTCATAAACAAAAGTTTCTTGGATCACACCAAGACATTTTACTTCAATCCGGCTAACTGTTTCTCCTTTTACCGCAGGACAAAAGGGAAATTTTTTCTTGACGGCAATAAATGAGTTGCAGTAGCTATTGATAATTCATTTTTTTTAATTTGAGTAGAATCATATATCAAATATAAATTGGGTAGAGTCAAAGTCGGAGATCAGTCAATAATCAAACCGGTTGTCTATGGAGTTGTAGGCCGTTGAAGTCGCCAAATATGAAGTGTGGAGAAAGAATATAGTTGGTGAGACGATTCATCTTTGAGAGTCCCCCCCCCCTCTTTTGTCCTAGAGGGATTTATATACTAATTTTTTGTATTTGATGGTGTCAGCCCTAGAATTATGATTATTGTCTATAGATTACTAAGATAGTTTAATGTAACCACCCATTAAGATAATTCAGTATTATTAGATTTTTTAAGTCTATCAATTATTTTATCGAAAGATAATGGTGGATCAAATAATTTAATTATTTCCGAAGTAATTGATATCGAAAATATGAAATTTAGGCAGGGCCGGTCCAATGTGTTTTAATGCCCTGGGCGAGATAATAATTTTATGCCCCTATACTCTTCTTCCGTCGTTAAATATTTTCTCGTCAATTTTTAGATCAGCGGGAGAAAGATGGTGTAAGCTATGAGGAGTCAAAGGGATCGGAATCAATTCTATGGAGCTTTGTTTGCAGAACAAGATTATTTTACTGGTTTACTTGTCTGAAGAATCAGTTTCTCCTCCCTATCTCTGGAAGTGAATGTTGTAGGCTACCTTTCTTTTGCTATGGCTTTGTAAAAATATATATATGTTACACTTTAAATG